TAAAACGCATGGTTATAATGGAATTATTCTTTTTCTTCCATCTGTAGTAAACCATACTTGAAAGTCTGAAATACTTCCACTCGGCGGTTCGTATAACTTTGTAGGTTTTTCGTAAAAGTCATTTGCCAAGCATAAGAAAGAGTTTTGGGCGCCAGAAAATGAAGCATGAACTATCACAGCATCTTGGTCGAAAACATTTTCATATGTTCCATTAGGGTTTTCGACTTCATAATAGTCCGGGTGTACTGGATATGCTGCAGGCTGATTTAACATCCTCATAAATCTATACCATGCCAAGTTGTTATATTTTGTAGAAATATAAACGTTTTCTCCAAGGTCTTCTATTTTATTGATTTTAACAGTTGCATTTTTCCTGTCATAAATAATATCGAGATGGTATTCTCCTTCGTCAATGTTATACTGGTTTGCATATTCGATATAGATATCGTTTATTTTTTCTTGAAAAGCTTGAAGAGTTGTTCTAAGTTTACAAGCAAACTAACTTGTAAAAGTTTTCCCTGTTCAAATTTCTCATGCGTATGTTTTTCTTTGTTATAGTATCGAACTTCAAAACCGACCGTAAATGGGAAACCATGTATGGCTTCTGAAATGAACTTCATTCTACGAAAGCCAATAGCTTTTGTGACAGATGGGTCTCTTAACCATCTTAATGGGTAGTCAAAACGATAGCCTTCATGCTTTACGGTCTCTGTCTCAAACTTTTGACCGACATTAGTAAAAAGTTCATCTAATGGTTTAGTTGTAGCAACTCTTGAATTTTCTTTTTCTATTGAAAGCATATTTTATCTAGAATAAAAATGTCGAAAGATATTGCTTCCATAAGAGAAATACAACACAACCGACAACTCATTATGCAAGCTCTAAATAAGAACACAACAAACTTTTCAAACTATTCTAAGATATCTGAGTCATTGAAAGAAGGAAACTTAAAACTGACATTAAACCCGATGACAGATGAGTTTCTGTTTCAAGACAATAAGAACCATACTGTCTGTATAAATCCAACAAAAGGAACTTTAAACGAGAAACCTATAAATGAACTTCTTTTGAAAGCAGATGTTGACAACAAAGCTGACAAAGAATATGTAGACGATGCAATAGCAAAAGAAGAAGAAAGAGCTAACAATGCTTATGCAACAAAAGAACATACTCATCCTGAACTAGCAGACAAAACATATGTTGACAATAAAATGTCAAGTGAAGTGACAAGAGCTGAAAACGAATATTCTAAAAAGACTCATATACATTCTATATCTGAAATAACAGACTTAAACGTTAGCCTTGAAAAGAAAGCGGATGAGGAATATGTGGCTAGTGTGTTTGTGAAGAAGGCGGATAAGGAATATGTGGATGAAAAAGATAATGAAATTATAGAAAGGGTTGAATGGTATCATGAACGGACATCGAAGATTTTTAAAACTAAAGCTAATACAGGATGGGTTTCAGGATGTTTAGACCTTAAAGCAGATAAAACTTATGTTAACGATGAGTTAGAGAAGAAAGCAAATAAGACTCATACACATACAAGTTTTACAACTGTTAGAGCAGACGACATAATACTGAACTTTGACCTTGGTTCAAGTGCACCTTTAGAGAATCCGAGTACAAGCGTAAAAGATACTCTTAACAATTTAGATAAGAGTTGCAGGAACATTGAAAGTAATGCCAGAAACTTTGAAGCATATGAACTACCCGCAATGTTAGACAAGAAAGCAGACAAAACAGAGCTTCAAACATTAAAGACAGAAATACTTCAAACATTATATCCTATAGGCTCTATTTATACGTCAATGAACTCTACCAGACCAGAAACAGTTCTGGGTTTTGGAACTTGGACTCAAATAGTCGACAGGTTTTTGTATTGTGCAAACTCTTCAAAGGAAACAGGTGGAAGTAAAACGATTTCAGGTGAAAATTTACCTGCACACAGTCACTACATAGATTTAAGTACATCTCAAGCAGGTTGGCATAAGCATAAATTTTGGGATTGGCACGCCTTGAAAAAAGGTAAAGGATATGATGTTAAAGACGACGTTCAGTTTGCTATAAATTGTTACTGGAGTGACACTCAGGGAGATGGAAACCATACACATCGCGTTTCAGGATATACGCAAACAACGGGACAAAGTAAAGAATACATGCCACCTTACATGACAGTTTACGCATGGTATAGAATTGCTTAGTCGTCATTTTCAACTTCTTTAGCATATTCGTCAGGAGTTGTCTTATATTTGTTAGGAACTGTCTTTGAAAGTATACCACCTTGAACTTTGACAAGTTTGAAACGAGGTCTGGCAATAGTAGTTTTATCTTCTGCTTGCAGTGTGTACATTTTGCCATGTTTGCCTAAAACTTCATAATATTCTCTTGTATATTTTCTCCTATTTTTACGAACACGAATGTGAGTACCTGTCGAGTTCCCATTGTTGTCATAGTCAATAGTATTTTCATATGGGTCGCGTTTAGGTATTTCTATTTTTACTTTGTCACCTTTCTGAAGTTTGAAGCCCGGCATTCTTTCTTGTTTGTCTCTTTTGACTAAATTATTAAATATATAGTCTTTCTCTAAGTCGGGGTTGTTTTTCATTTCTTCGGGGGAGTGGTTTCCCAAACCTTTTTGTTTACGGTTATTGTAAATATTTAAAACTTGTCTCATCTTTGCCATGGAGAAATGTCTATACTTGTCGTCATATGACATTTCATTTGCTTCACCACCTTGTGGTTGGTTTAAGTCTCTTAACATTTTTATACAACCGTCAATGACACCAAGAGCAGAATGGTTTTGGTCGACAATGAAATATTGGTTTACATTTTTTGAACGCAGATAGTTTTTTACATCATCTGATTTGAAAGAACTTTCACAGTCAGATGTCAGTTTTGTTGGATGGTATTTGTCAACGAATATTGTCAAAGCAGTTTTCACATCTAAAATATTTTTGGACCATAATGGTATGGCTTCACAGTATCTTGTGTTTTGACCAACAAATATTAACCAGTATGGTGGTCCATCTTCTCTATACCTCGGAATGTTTTCCAAGATATCCATAAACCAAGCATTTGGTGTTGAACTAAAGATTTTTACCATGAGTGCTTTCTTTGTCGCTTTAGAAACATAGGGGTCCTTGTTTGGATTCGTCATTTTTTAACCCATAAGAAATGGGTTTATTTGGCGCATTAGCAGGAGTTGCATCCAGATTTTTGCCCGCAGTGGGAACAATAGCCAGAGGTGCATTTGGAATTGGAAGGAAGATTTTGAGTACATTAGGTATACTTAAAGAGAAAGCACAACCTATTATACAAACTGTACAGAAAGGTTGGGATGTAGCACGAGATGCAACAAATCTTATTCCAAATCCTGAAACAAAAGGAAAAGTTCAAGGATGGATGGACAATGTAGGAAGACAAGCAGGAAACTATTATAACAAAGCAAATGACTACTATAACCAAGCAGGACACTATATGGACCAAGGTGAAAGATTCTTTAACAGAGGATATAACCATGCACAACAGTGGGTAAACAATAACCAACCGCAACCACCTCAAACTTGGGGAATGTAAAATTTTTTACTGAGATGAAATGAACAATACAGCATTGAGACAAATGGGTTCAAGATGGATTTGTCGGCTTCCAGCAGTTACACCACGTGTTTGTCAAGTTCTTCCTATACCTCAGGAAGTTTTAGACCGACTTAAAAAACCTAAACAACCAGTTGAAAACAAACCAAACTAAAATTTTTTACTGAGATGAAATGACCGAAGAAGTTGAAACGGTAGATTTGACACCACAAACAAAAAGTTCAGAACCATTGTCAAAACCTGTCAAAGAACTTACAGATGAAGAGAAAAATTCAATAATAGAAAGTGCCAGGTCTGGAAATACAAACCCTAACTACAAAGTCACTTTTCATAAAAATGGAACGGCTAGTATCTCAAAAAAGAAACAGACTCTCACAAATAAAATATTGAAGTCTGAAGGAGCTTTCGAGACAACAGATGGAAAAGTTTACTTCACTGACCAACAGTTCATTATAGAACATCTCATTGACTTAGAGTCGAAATATTCTAAACTTTACAACAAACACAAAAAGTTGAAAGGAAAACAAAAACAAATGGCATATGATATTTATGAAGATGTTGACGACACAACTGTTCCTGCAGGTGAGGTAAAGTCAGAGGAACCGAAAAGTGACGAAAAACCGATAGAAGAAGAAAAACCAAAAACTGAAGATAAACCAAAACCAAAGTTTAGTTTCCAAACTAAACCAAGTCAACCTTCATTAGCTGGTATGGGTTGGCGTCAAAGACTTATGGCAGCAGGCGGTTATGTAAAGTAAAGAAAAAAAACATATTTTTTTATTTTTATAAAAATGCCCCCATATAGAATCGATAGAAAATCTGCTAGAATAAAAGCAGAGTTGCAAAGATATGGTTGGAGAGTTTCGAAGAATTTTAAATATAGGAAGGGAAGACCCATAAAAGTCTATGACAAATTGTCTGGTCTTCGCTACGAAATGGATTTGGAAACAGCACGTGCCAATTATCCAAACAGACTAGAGAGGTTAGAAGAAGAACGTCTTATGGACATGCCTTTCGATGTTAGTGAACCTCAAGTTGAAGGACACGACGGCTTTGCCAGATTCTACTGGAAACATGACGAACAATTGCATCCTTTGAGAAGGAAAAAAGGTAGTGCAGAGGATGGTCATGCTCCCATGGAAAGAACAAGATATGCATATGAAAAGTATCGTGAAGTTAGAAGTCAAATTACATCTGGTCGAACCTTTACAGTAAACTTTGACGAAGGAAAGAACAAAGAAGGCTTCATGGGAGTACTTGCTGCAATTCAAGACGGAAATAAGAAAGGACACAATATCAGATTGACCATAACAGATTTGGATGGTCACATTTACTATGCACATGGCAATGAACAAACAGCCGCAAAACTTCTTGACGCTTTCAAGACTACAAAGAGAGAACAAATGGTTGACTCCGACTCAGACATTTTGAATGCAATTGAAGGAATTGCAAGTGTCAAGTTCGAATGGTACCAACCTAACCCTCAAGCAGTCAGACAACATGCTGGATACTTCCCGTTCATAAATAAGTCTGACATTGACTTGACAAGGTATGGAATTTACAATTCAATTGAAACAATTGTCAATGAACCTTGTATTCTTACATGTCTCAGGAACTCTGGTCTTGTTACAGATGAGAAGATGAAGTATCTTGAGTCATGTGTGAAGACAAGGTACATTCTCAGAGGTCAATTGGCAAAAATTGCACCGTTGGCAAATGTCAATATCCGAGTCAACATACCTACAGCTAAAGGTTCTTCACATGACGACTATGTTGTTGAGTTCAATTTACCATGGTTGAAGATTGTAATTGTCCACAACCACTTCATGTTGAACGAAAGTCTTACAAACCCATTGTTCGGAAAAGGCAAGTGCAACATTGTCAGAGCTGTAAACATTCTTTTCGAGAAAGGTTTGTTGGAACCAATTCCAGATGACAAGCTGACAGAAACTTTTGTACGAAAAAACGAAACAAACTTTTCATTGTTAGCAAGACCAAAAGTTGTTCCAGACAAAGTTCTAGTACAAAAGAAGTACACAATTCCACAAGGAGTTGGATTGTTCGGATACCAACCTGAACCAGAAGAACTTCCAATGAGGTTGCAAGAACTTCAAGATGCTAAAATAAAAACTTCCATTGAGACATCCAATTGACGTCAAATTGTATTGGAGAGCATCTGAGTTAGGTCAGAAGGTTTTATATGAAACAGGTTGCTTCGACGACGTTTATGAGATAACAGGAGAAGTTTCTCAGAAGATAAGAGACTCACTTGAATTTCCACAAACTGGACCAATTGGTTGCGACAAGTTCGACTCAAACGAAAAGATATACTATGTCGACCTTAACGCTGCGTACATGAGGTTTGTCCAATATATTCCGACTGGAATTCCAAACGAAGATGGTGAGTTCCCGGGAAGGAACTATACAGTTGGAAAAGTCATACAACAACTGTATGATATTAGGAAAGCTTCAAACCCCAAACTTGCAATGACACTCAAATTGCTTATGAATTCGACATGGGGATATTCCATTAAGAAACCTCAAGAGATGAAGAGTAAACATTATGAGAAGGTCGACAACTTTGTTGAAAGGTTTTCTCCTTTTGTTTTGAAGTACGAATTCACTCAAGGTCAAAGTGGCTTAGTAACCACATTAAAACCTATTGTCGAACATTGGTCTTACCCTCAGTTCGCAAAGGCAGTCCTTGACAACTACAACAAATTCTTCTCCGAAGTCAAATCGAAAGTCAAGGTTTACTATGAGAACATTGACGCACTCATGACGAACGAAGAAGGATACAACAAACTCATTGAAATGGGTTTAGTCGGTGAGAAGATGGGTCAATTCAAATTGGACAAAATTTTCACCGAAGTTCATGTCCTCTCCAAGCGTAAGTACTGGGGTGTTAAAGAAGATGGTGAAATAGTTAAACATTGCATGAAATAAAAAATTTTTATTCGAATTTGAATTAAAATGTGGGAATTCTTGGGAACGGGAAAGGCTTATTTACTTGAGGAACAGGTAAAGGTGGTGGAGGTGGAGGTGGTGGCAACCAGTCCATTTTATATTCCTTCCTAGCTAATTTCCGTTTAATTTCATGGTCGCCCTCGGAGTCTTTGAATCGGACAGGTCGAGTTACACCATTCTTGGTCTCAAACTCATATATAACCTGTTTGTCTGTATTTTCGTCGACTATGGCACGAGACACGAACATTGACCAAACGGACAAAAAGTGTCATTTCGGATGGTCATGCAGCCAATCGCATTCGAGCACTTCGAAGAAGCCTTACGTTCCAAGGGAGAGGGTGTCTGGTGCAAGGCAGAGGTCATGAAACTCTACGAGCAGTACATCCTCAATGCCTGGGAGGACAAATCGTCCTTGGATTGGCAATTCTACCAACTTCTCTGGGACGACCTCCTACGCAACTGGGATAACGAAAGAGTCCAATTCAAAGGTCGGGAACTAATTTTGCAAATTGCCCTTAATTTAACATACTTATCCAAATAAACACCTAAATTTACTTGGGGTTTCCCCCTAAAATAAAATTTTTTTACTCTTAGAACCACTCGAGGTTCTCCTTACGGTTGTTGAGCTTGTCACCGTCAATGTGTCTGACCTTCGTCTTATTGCCTGGATTTGGAACCCATTGAATTGCGACAAGCTTGCCCATGGAGATTGAACCGCGATTCCGAAGGTTAAGGTTCAAGTGTCCCAAGTTGTTGAGGACTGGGGTAAGAACCTTGCCTGTCTCCTTGTTGCGGATTTGGTATGGGTAGGGGTGGGAAATTTCGTAACCGTCATCGGCAACAAGGGTTGCCCATGTAGCGGCTTCAGGAACTTCTTCTTCTTCCTCTTCTTCCTCGACAACTCCTTCTTCAATTTGGTACTCACGAAGTACGGTGTTGCATGTTCTGTCCTTTCCGAGTACCTTCCAGATGGCGTCTATCTCTTCGAAGAAACGGTAGATGAGTCGGGCAAGGTTTTGGTTCTCTATGTTGTATTGGCGCAAGGTTTCCGCGAAATCGTTCAGGACTTTCTTATTGGAAGCTTGGTTCGTGAGGACATCGACTTTGAGATTGGTTATCTCTTCCATAAGACTACTTTGGAGAGTCTGAATGGTGTTTGACAGATGAGCGTTCAATTGGGCAATTTGAATTTGAACTGGGCGCTTGTCTGTCAACCTTGAAAGGACATCTGCCATTGAGTTTGGCTTCGGTGCTTGTTCGGACATCGAAAAAATGAAGTGGTTTGAGAATGGCGGTTTTACTTCAAAAAGCTTGTTATGACAGTTATGTCATACAACAAGTTTAAAATAATATCTTGTTCTTCTTCTGAACGTTTGTTGTCTCTTCCGATAAAAGTTTGGAACATGAGAACCAAAAAACGTTTTTTGAGATTGTGGAAGAGTTCAGGCAAACGTTCATATTCCGGATATGTTGGGAGCAGTTCGAAACATCTGAGCTGACTTTCGGACAAAATTGGGACAATGTCAACAAATTCATCTTTGGTCGGACTGCTTGAAGGTAAGTCCCTTACATGTAAGTAGCTCTGGTAAAGTCTTCTCATTTCTGCTAACTTTTGGAGTATAGCTTCGTAGTTTAGAAGTTTTAATTTTAAATGTCTTATTCCACTCTTGACATCTAAACGGTAACTATCCATGAGGTCAAGAGTAGCTTTGGTAGCTTTAAGTGGAGCTATCTGTTCCTTGACTCCTGCAATTTTGGTTGCAATTGTGATTTGAGCTCCTTCAAGTTCGCCGTCTATGTCGTTCTCAACGTCTTCAACTATGGCTTGAAACTCTTCATCGGTCCATTGAGATTGTGTGGGACGAATTTAACTTGCTTCATTCAAAAAATGAAAAAAAATGTTTTTACTCTAAACGTTAAGGTTTACTGAACTGGTTGGATGTCGCCTTCACAGGTTATGTAGAACGGCTGACCCGAGAAGTGAAGGAGACCCTTGAGAATTTGGCTCATTCTTGGGAAAGGGTTCTCCTTGTTTGGAAGTAGTATCCAAGGACGCTTGGCAAAGAACTTGAGAAGAGCTTCTTTCTTTGCTTGCTTTATGCCATCGTAGGCTGTCCCGTCTGGTATTTGAATTGGAATTCCAGTCGAAGTCTCGAGATTCAAGGCAGCCCTTCCCGTTATCCAACCGTTAACAAGCTTGCCTTTTACATTCTGCCTGAGGAAGTCTTTAACAAGCTCGTTAATTTCAATTAGGTAAATTGCCTCGTCGGTAGGTTCGACCTCGACCATTGCTACTGTCAGAAAAAGTACTGCTACTGTCAGAAAAAGTACTGCTACTGTCAGAAAAAGTACTGCTACTGTCAGTAGAAGTACTGCTACTGTCAGTAGAAGTACTTCTACTGTCAGTAAAAGTACTTCTACCGTCAGTAAAAAGGAAAATTTGAGAGGGTTTTCGACGATAAAGTACTTCTACTGTCAGTAAAAGTACTTCTACTGTCAGTAAAAGTACTTCTACTGTCAGAAAAAGTACTTCTACTGTCAGTAAAAGTACTTCTACTGTCAGTAGAAGTACTGCTAGTAGCAGAGATTTTTATCGTTGTGGTCCGACGGTTAAGCCACAAACGAATGTCCGACGTCCCACCAACCGAGTCCATTCCCAAACCAGAGGAACCTAAAGCACCAGCCCCTGCACCTCAGTTCCAGCAAGTCCCTCCACCAAATTACTACCAATTTCCACCTCAAGGTTACTACCTACCACAAGGCTTCCCGAACTACCCTCCTCAGCCTATGCCTTACTTCCCCAACCCTTGGATGTTCCAGCAAGCTCCACCCCAACAATTCCAATCTCAATCCAAATCGAAGAGAGACCAAGAGTTCGAAGAAGGTCTGAACCGTTTACGCAAAGATTATGCCACAGCCCCTATGGAAGACGACAGGCTTTCAGTCTCTTCCCTCAAATCGACCAATTCGACTCGTACCACAGATTCGGTTCGTGACCGTGAAGACTACCTCAAGCAGTCTGAGAGACTCTTCATCCTACAATCATTTACAGTTGGAGCTCTCAAGAACATGCGCAATTACGAAGGTCAGACACCAGCTGGAGACCGCAAAACAGACGTACTCGCAAGAGCCGTCCAACTGGTCAAGACAAAGACTGAGATAGTCGACTTCATTCTTGCAGCTTGCCCATACAAGTAAAAAAATAAACAATTACGAGTTAAACTTTTTATTCTTTCTTTTCTGAGTTGTTTAGAGCTGGTTTCTCTTGTAGGAACCTTTCGTACTCTTCCATGGTCATGTAATTGCGAATTTTGTACGCAATTCCAGGTTCGTTGTTTTTGAACCTTATGTATGTAACGCTTCCATCCTCCTCAGGGAAGTAAGCTGCTAACATCTGACCAAGTTTTCTCGGTGACTCGGAGCTCATAAAAATGTCACTTTTTAAACGTTAAGTTTTTAGTCTTAATTTACCCTTTGTTTACCCTTTGTTTGTCAAGGTAGTATTGGAGTGCAATTTCTCCAAATTCTCTGTGTCGGAGTTCTTCAGCATTTTCCAAGGTGTACCTGGAGAACTCAAAGAAGTTGTCAAGAAGATACTGCCATGCTGCTCTTCTGAGTTCGTCGGTATTTTGGAAGTGTTGCACCTTCGAGTCTTCGGACATGAAAAAATGACACTTTTTCTATTAAACCGTTTTGGCATTTCTCATGAGTGAGTATAGTTCTGCCGAACCATTGGAAGAGAAGAAGTACCCTTGCTGGCAAAAGACAAAAATAGTTGCCTTAGTTGTCATTGCAATTGTACTCGTAATTGAATTCATTGTACTTCTCTTCACGTACATAAAACTCAGCAATGGTATTTGCTTTAAGAAGCTACCATCTTACTAAGACTAAACACTTAGATTTTTCAAGCTTGACTTTTTACAATTTGAATTTTGTTGCTGAATTCAGCAAAAATAATGTTTAGGTGAAGAGGTGAGATCTCACCCGTTTTTTCACCTGTTTTCTCACCCTCATGAATTTTCATGAATTTTCCCGAAATAAAAAATAAAGTTAGTTTTATTTTATTTATTCTTCATTTTTTTGTATGTAAGATATGATTTCAGGGATTTTTTTGACGAAGTGAACATTAACACTTCGTCAAAAAATAACAGTTATCTAATGAAAAAGTGTCATTTTTTTCATTTTTTTGCATTTGACGAGAATGTTTAGGGTAGAAGGTGAGATCTAACCTCATTTCTAACCTCATTTCTACCCTCTTGAATTTTCATGAATTTTCCCGAAATAAAATGCAGAGAAGGAAAATATAACTACTCCGTCAAAGAGATAGAACGTATGAGAAACGACTATGCAGACTTAAAGAAAGAAGCAGAAAAGCCAGCAGAAGATAAAATGAACATGTTAGAATTTCTGAACAAAAACTATCCAACAGCAGAAGATTTCCTTCTATCTGACGTCAAGAAGAAGTATAAAGAAACTTTCGGCATTGTTAAAACATTCGATGTACTAAAAGAAGAAATAGAAGCTACGAAACTGTTTAAGATTTCAAATATACATCGTACAATTCATGTAAAAAGCTTGTGAAAAAAACAGGTGAGAAAACAGGTGAGAAAACGGGTGAGATCTCACCTCTTCACCTAAACATTATTTTTATTGAATTCAGCAACAAAAATCATGAATTTCCTCATATGCTTGCTTCCCTCGGAAAACCGAGGGAAGAGATTCCGTATGAAAACAGTGAAGAACAGCGAGTAGTTAAAAAACCCCAGTCGCCAAAACTCTATGAAAACAGTGAAGCACAGCGAGACAGACTTTTTTCGGGGTCGCCTTCAAACAAGTAGGGTAGATGAACTCTTTATTTTTCAAGCTTGACTTTTTACAATTTGAACTTTGTTTGCGTAGATATGAATTCTGAAAGAAGTATGAGGGTCTTGTATGACTTTATACTTCTCCCATAGTTCATATCTGTCAAACTTACCTGCCATGGACTCTTTCATAAGTTCCATGAAATCGTCTTCGGACAATCCGGGGAAAAGTATTATGTCAGTAAGTATTCTTTTAACATCCTTACTTAAACTCTTTGCTGTCTGTACACAAATGACAACTGAGATGTTAAAGTGTCTGAGCTTCTTAAGAATTCGACACATATCTTGTTCTCTGTTCTTTAACAAAGGATGAGAAGCAAAGTCATCTAAGATAAGAAGACATCTATGAGGGTAAGTCTTCCAATCGTAAGATTGCAATTTCTTCGAAATGTATTCTATCTCTTTCTGTTTGTTTCTGAAGTGTTTCTTCTCTAATATTCTCTGCATTTCCTCATTTGGGTCTTTAAACTTAGAATTTATATACTCATTTATAGCATTATACTTCAAAACTCTTCTTTGGTACTTCTTTATCCAATCTAACAACTCAGTATCCTTTATACATACTAACTTAGACTTCTTTATAATATCTTTGAACGAATTGACGGTTTGGTCAAATTGACCAGAAGTACTACAAATAACAACTAACTCATAGAATGGGTTCTTCTCATCTAGTTCTTGTTGTTGTGCAGCCATTTTAAGATAAGTGAAAGTCTTACCCGACCCAGGTGGTGCAATTAGACCTGTTATACCATTCTGAGCAAATAAGAACTTGTCATGTATAGGCTTTATCTGAGCATTTTCTAACTTTCTCTTGTTCTTATTTAAAACATTCTCAAATTTCTTGTCAATGTCAGCAAACTTTTTTTCTAACATATTTTTAGAAAAATTAAAATTTTTATCTTTTAGAAAATGTCTAGCGATTTCGCTATCTATATTCGAGACAAACTTTTCGACAGCAAAACATCTGTCGACCATAAAATCTTACATAGTGTAAACAAGAAAGGTGAATTTGTTCTAAAGTTCTGTTTCTGGGAATATGACAAGAACCATAAAACATTAAGCAGAGCAGTCTTAAAATTTGTCAATGACAGACTTGTTGACAGAGATGACGCCTCTTGGAGAGATGAAGTCCAACAAAAGTTCTTAGAATGCAAAGAAGACACATGCGCTGTTCTTGAAGATGAAATAGAAAACAGAATAGATGAGCTATTAAAGGACAAAGAACTTTTACATAAATATAGTTGCGCCAAATTTGACATAACTCCACCAGAAAAGAAGAAGAAAGAAAAGAAAGTAGAAGAAGAGAAGAAAGAACCTGAACCAGTTCCAGAGAAAAAGAAATTTGACATGTAAAAATAAAATTTTATTTTTAGAACATTTCTGGGTCAATGTCAATGTTCTCTTCCTCTTTAGGGGCAAACACTGGCTTAGACTCTAAAATCTTTTTACCCAATTTACCTTGAACTTCAACTATCTTAGACTCATAATATTCATAGTCGTCTGCTTTCTTTGGTTCATAAGGTATAACAAGTTTGTATGCTTTGCCTTCTTTAAGGTTTGAGAACCTTCTGTCAAAACTTTCTTTGACTGCTAACAAACCTTCTATGTCTAAGTCTTCAAATTTCGCACCATTTTTAGTCACAATAGCAAACTTAACTGGTTCGATGTTCCAAACTTTGCTGAATGAAGACTTTTCAAAATGGTAGAAGTAAACATTCAAATATGTGAATGGGTCTAGTTCTTCTTTAAGTCCTGACATGTACTTGTTTACTGAGATGAATTTTGTCATCTTTTCTATCGGATAAAAAAATATTTTTTTTTAAAATTTACTCAGAAAAATTTTTCTTTGTATATACACCATTCTGAACATCTAAAAGACTTTTGACATTTGCCAAGAATGTACGTTTAGAAGCTGCCATATAACCATATTCTTGACAATATTGTTTATACGAATCGTACAATGACCTTTCATCTAATGACACAAAGTCAGTTTCATCTATGAACAGTTCATATACACTCTTGTTTGCTTCTAACAATGTTTGTCTCTCTTCGGTATGTGGAATTTGTCTTGGATTGAACTTAGAAATATCTAATGTCATGAAATATGAGAACAAGTGGTTGTAAAAGTCAGATGTCAAAGTTTCTGCTAAGTCGTCAAAATATTCTGTATCTTGCATATGAGAATCTGACGTTCTGACAACTACATATCTTCTGTCAGAACTTTCTAACTTCATCGGAACAGTATTGTTTGAAACCATAATGAAGTTTGCAACATTTTCACAAACTCTTTGGTCTTTATACTTTCTTTCAACAACTCCAACTTTGTCTGTTATAAGACTCTTCAAAGCATCTGAGTTCAAAACTTTTGTTGTATCTATACTTTGAAGTTCATTGCAAACTATAAGTTTCATATTCTCTATTGAGGAGTTAAACTTGCCACAGATGTTTTCTAAGTTTGTCATATTCGGATTCGAATAACCTTCTAACAGTTTGCATAAGATATCTGTAAAGAAAGTATTCTTACCTGTTCCTTGTTTTCCAATTATAATGAGAGCAGTTTCATTTTTAGCACTTGGATGTTGTAAGATGTTTGCAAACCAACATAAGATATACTCATAAACCTTTTCGTTTCCATTGCATATAATTTCTTTGACATGGTCTAACCAAGCTTCTATAATATTTTCTTTCCATTCTACTTGTTCGTATTTATATCCAGTGAAGATAGAATAGAAGTTTGGAGAAGGTGTATAGAACTTTATACCTCGAACTGAAAAATCTTCTAACTTTGACAATAAGATATCCCAAGCATCTAACATCTTCATTCCAACTTGTACAACTTTTATTTTCTTAAGTTTCTGTCTACATTCTTGTTCAGACACTATTGTTGCTCTTGGTTTGTTAAAGACAACATCCCATTCTTTCATGACATAACATTCTGGGGCAGAGTCAACATAAATGACTAAACGTTTCAAATTCTCGACTGCTTTGTTATAGTCTCTAAATGGACACATATTTCTGAATGCTTGGAAGTCATAAAAATCTGAAACATCTATTCTGTACATTTTTATAAAAATAAAAAAATATTATTTTTTTATTCTTGACTTTGTTGTTCCATTTGTTGCATTTGTTGTTCTTGAGCTATTTGTTGTTGAAGTTGTTCTTGTAATACAATACTTTCACCAGTTGCATCTTCCAATTCGAAACTTTCTGCCGTCATTGACAAATACATAGGACATAAAAGTTTTACAGGAACAAAGTTTGCGTCAACTAAGGTCAACGTTATACTGCCAAAGTGTTTGAGTTCACTAAGGTTGAAAATTCTGCATTCGAATGAACAATAGGCAAACCAGCAGAGAAAGTATTGTTTATACGCATAAGTATCTTTTGGTCATAATAGTTTCTGTCGACATTCGAATAACACTTTGAACCTAAGTTTGAAACAATATATAAGATTGGTGTGCTTAATGTCAATGGAATAGACAAACCTTGTATGACACCTTTTCCTGTTATAGGAAACTGTTGGTAGTAAAAACCAGAAATAAGTTTTGTATTATAGCTCATATCGTTTATAGTAAACTCAGTCGGACATCCAAACATAATGAAACCTGCTCTAGTTGCAGCACATGTTACACTCGTACGTAAAGTATTAAATAAGTCAACAAAACCTGTTGGTGGTATATCTGAGTAAGTATCTTCAAAGGAGTATTTTTTACCATTCACAACAATAAAGTCTTCTGGTGTCAAAAGAGCAAAACAGGCTTTAGTCGTCATTGTGTTTAAGGTTAGTTTACAATATCGTCCTTGAGGACTTTGTAAGTTTGTTGTTATAGAATTATATGACTCAGGGTTTTTAGTCGTAATAGTATAAACCATTATGTCTTCTGCCATTTACTTAGCAAATAAATTTTAATGAAATGTTGTGGTCGTCAAATATTTTTATAACGTCTGGGAAACTATACTTTAAGTTCAACGTTTCACCTCCTTTCATAACGTATATCTTGTCAATGACATTATATGAAACACCACAGCAACTAATGTCGGGTTCTATTTCTTTGATGTTTATATCGTCTGCCTCTGTCAAAAGTTTCAATAGTTCTTTCAAAACTTCATGAGGTGCAATGACATATGAGTTCACTTTTACAGGGTTGTGTTCGACCAAGTTTAACATTATACTTAAAGCTTGACAAATCTTCTCCTGAGTTTGAAGTTTGTCTTTCAGTTGTTGGTAGTCGTTTCGAATATCTGCAACAGAACTTAAGTCTCTGTTAACTTCAGGGTATGTTGGTTCTTTTACAGGAACAATTGTTATACCATCTTCGTCTTCGTATGGTTTCCCCACTTCAACATTTCTGTCTTTGACATTGACAACAACACTTTGACTGTTTGTTTGAGTTGGTGAATTTAACTTCACATCTGCCACCGCCATTAAACCTTTTGAAACACTTACGCTTCTATTTTTCGGAAATGACATTTTACTTAGAATAAAAAGATGGACGTATTCGAGTATCTCTTCGAATTGAAGCAAAACAAGGTTTACACACACAAACAATACAAATACATTGACAGAATAGTTCTTTACACAAACAATGGAAAATGTTATAGAATAGCTGTCTTTGCTGAACCTAAATATTTTCATAAAGCAAAGAAAGTTGGTATAACTGAAATGGTGAAAGTTCTTGAAGCAGACAAAAATATAACTTCAAAACTGACCGATATTTCTAAAGGTAAGTTTATAATACAATATTATGTCAAAACTGGCGTACTGTCAATATTTGACGGAGAGAAGTCAGTTCAAGAACAACTTACTGACCTGCTGCCAAAATCTGCTCGATGGAAGCTGTCGTTATGCCAATCTGAGGAGCCCCAGCAGGTTTCATCGAACGAATCTTCAAAAGAGCATCTTCCGTGAAAAGTGCTATTGGTTTTGTAAACTTCTTTGCTCTCAATTCATCTGGACCGTCTCTGTCACCAGTATATTGTATTTGAACTGTACCAACAGTTGAAATACCACCCATAAAGTCTTCTGAGTCAGCAAATGGAATGCCAAGCCAAAAGTTTGAACGGTCTCCATTTGTATATTGAGTGTTTTGACCTCCTGTATGAGTCCATACTTTCACATATGGCATAATAGAACTTTGCATTTCAGGGTTAATAGTTGTTGTGAAGTTGTTGTTAAAGTTCATAGCATCTAATGTCAAGTTGTATGACCTCATATCCTCAACTGTAGAATATTCTTCTCTTGGATAATATTTGCCATCTATGTTTATATGATATTTAATACCAGGGTTGTAGAAACAAGAATAGTCATTTATAGTTCGTCTGAACAGTACAAACATAGTATCTGCATGTTTCATTGCAGTTGTTAAAGCAATATCTGTTCTTGCACCTGGGTCAGCACTTTGGTTTCCAACTTCACCTGCAAAGTCTTTGACAGATATTTGGTGTATAGGGAACATAAGTGGAACTGCAATATATTTGGCAGCTAAAGCATTTGAAATATCTGGGTCCAACATATAGACTGCAAGTCTGCTTTCTATTCTCTTGCATTCAAATTTTTCGCATGTAAACTTAACTGGGTCCCAAGCAGTTCCAGCAGCATTGAAATAATAGTTTACTTCAGTGTTGAGGTTTGAGAAACCAAAGTCTAAGTCAACTTTGTCTTTGCAAAAGTCACAGAACTTGGCTCCACCAGTTCCAGTTACAGTAATGCTGAATGGGTCTTGTGTTGGTGCAATGACTAAGTTATTTTTGCTTGGAGTAAGTTCGATAGAAATTTTTCCTGCCCAGTTTGGCAAGTATCTTAAAAACCTGAAGATGAGGAAAGATGACAAAGGAACTCTAAGTTTCAGTTTTACTTTGGTTACTGCTGCTGCAGTTTGTCCAGAAAGGTTAACATAAACTCCTGGAACGTTAGGGTCAAGTCTTCTTATTTTCTCAATAGTTGCATACTGGTCTGTTTGTTCTCTAGCTTGTGGTTGTACTGAGTTTCTCAAAGCGAACCATTCATAGTTTGCCCATGTTACTGTTTGAACTAAGTCAGAGTTAGAATATATCTTATATCCCATAAAAACTTCTGGAGCATATTGGTATCCGACATAGAAAATTCCATTGCAACCTTTCTTGTCAGACAACTTGGCAGAAGGTTTTATTTCAATGTCTTGTTCCACGTATAAGAATGAGTTGTCAATAGAAATAATATGAAACCTGTCGCAAGCAATATCTACTGTTGTTGAAGAACCTTCTCCAAACTCACCTACGTTTCCATAAGAAACAGCAGTTGTATATTCGTAAGTTCCAGGAACTATTTCTGACCTTCTAATGGCATTGTCGCATTCGTTATACCATTCGGAAAC